AAATTACTACGTTTGCTAAATGTGTGTTCTAGATTCCAACAATTTCAAGAAAGGCCGATGAATCACCCAGGAATTCCAATTCATGACAAACCAAGAGCCTATGTTACTATTACTGACTCCTTCAGACCAGACAGTGAGATATTTTGAAAACGCCCAGGATGGTTAGGGATGGTGTCCATACATAAGCTTTAAGAAGCTGTAGAAGAAGATACCTTTGGTCCTGTCCCTTAAGAATAAGGAAGCTAAAATCTCTCAGGGGGCAATAAGACAGTCATGGTATACCATGGTAGAACACAAGGCTGGGACAACAGAATAAATCCCTGGGCCCAGTGAGCTATTATCCTTGGTAACATGGCAAATTGCTACTCTACCCTTCCGTTCTTTGTGACAGACCCATTGTGAGACTGATGAAACCACAGAAGCACAATATTTACACAAAATGAGGGGATTATTAAACCCTCTAGCTTCACTTGCCCTTCGTTGACTTAAGGATCACTAATTTTGGAGGTCATATAGCTGGGTAATATTTTATTAGTTTCCCACTACCTCTGCTGTAGGTATCACCTCTGATGCCTGGGTTATGTTAACAGTTGCCTAGGTTACTTACTTCTCAGGGACTTGAAGTCTGCTTTTGCAAAAAACCCTGACTCTTCGCTTATCCAATGGGTGACTAGAACAGGATAAAAAGGTTTGGCTCCTCTGTCTTTTTATTGTGTCTGTTTCCTTTAATGCTCTAACTTTTGTTTCAGATTCTAATCAGCTCTGCTCGTGGACATGTTGATTATTTTTAAAATGTTTTGTTCAAGACTCTGATGCAGGGCTAATGTGGCCTATGGCTCCTTTGAGCTGGTGTGTGTTTACAATACCCTCACTCTTGGGTTTTTTCAGCAGCCATGCCATAAGGCCCAGATCCATAAGGCTGGGATGTTTTGCACAAAATAATGATGTCAGTGATAAAATAATTCAACAGCCTCTAGGACAAGCGGGCCACGACAACTTGGAGGTCATAAGAAGAAGCATCGTTTGAAACTATGTCACTGGCCAATGAAAATTTACGGGACTTTAGTCCACCTCATCAATTCAATAAAAACTTGCTATTGTTTTTGTTCTGTGAGCAGTGTAATCCCTTTCTTGATCAATGTTGTTTTCCTTTTGTTGAAGTCCCAGTACAGCTGCACTCCTCCTACCCCAGAAAAGTCTTGCCTGTGTACATGCTTGTAATATTTGGCTTGTTCTTATTTCTACCATCTCTGAGTCAAAAGATCCCATCTGGTATCATTAGCAGACTAGAGATTCTAGGAGAGAGGGAAAAGAATGTGTTCTCTAAAGATAAAACAGGGAAATTGGTAGGAAAGGTCAGGGGCTAGGGAAGGCAGGGGAAGAGGAGGGAGAAAGAGGCCCAGCAAGGGAGGAAATGGAGGTGAGCCCTAGGGGGGTGGACTGCAACCTCCTGAGGTCTGTTCCAGGTCTGGTTTCTTGAGAATGGGGTTAGAAGATTCTCAAAGTCTTCCTCTTCACAGCTCTCCAGAGAATAGGTAAGGTTAGGCCAGGGAGGGGACAATAGAGGTGTCTTAGGGTTGGGGTTGAGACGCCGAGGTATGTGTGATAGGACAGCTGAGAAAGCCAGGGCACAGTCTCCCCTCACCAGCTCCAGGGCCTGAGAAGGCTGCTGAGGACCTGAAGAGGGATGCACATATGGGAGGAAGGGGGAGAAGGGCGCAGTGTCCAGGGTCGAACCTCCCTTTGTTTGATGAGCAGCATGGGGAGGACAGTGTAGTAGGGACTGGGGCTCACATTGGCACAAGGTGGCCACCTGAAGGTAATTTTGGCATTTCTGATGGGTGCTGCTGTGGTGTGTGTGTGGTGTTGGTGTGTGGAGGCACACAGTGAAGCTGTGCCAGGAAAAGATGAGTGTGTGTGGGGGGGGAAGGGGCTAGAATCAAACCCATATGTGCATGCACATAGACACACACACACACACACACACACACACACACACACACACACACACACAGCCTCCCAGCAGATCCTATGGCCTCCTTTGGCTTCCTTCAGAACCAGTTGGAGGAACAAAGCCACAAAGCAGCTCAGGCTGGTGGGTATGACTTAGAAGGGTCTTGCTGAGTACATGGGCAGCACTGCCTGGCAAGGGAAGAATGGCTATATTTGGGGACAGCCTGCAGGCATCCAAGAGGAGGACAAACTAGAATGATCCAGTCCTCAGGCCAGAGTGATGGGCTGGTTGTTTACCGCTTGATAGACATGGGCTTGCTCCAGGAAAACAAGACAGCACAGCACAGATAGCAGGTTCCCCAGTTTATTGGGAAATGGACAGCCAGAGGCAAGAGAGGCATGGAAAGAAGGAACCCCCCCATGTTTGGGAAGAGAATGCCCTGCAGCTGTGGAGGGATGGGTCCATCCTGGCAGCTGCTCCTTTTCAGCAGAGCAGTGACTGGTGGAGAGGGCTGAGTGGTGTATTCTTGGAACACAAGGGGAAAGCTACCCAAGAAAGCACTGCTGATCTCAGCTGGGATGGGGGCAGAGGCACATTGGGCAGAAGGGAGGAGCTTCCCTGGCTCTCTCTTTTCTGGCCACTTAGAACCTCCCCTGGCAGACAGAACCTCCTCCACATGGTGCGCACAGGCCAGTGCTCACTGCCACATTCCCAGTGCAGGGGGCACTGCAGACGCTGCCCGTCACAGGCCTGGAGCCAGACACGCAGAGGTCCCCACACACAACCCCACCACGGGAGCTGCTGACACCTGCAAGAACAAGGCCAAGGTCAGGAGACTGGTGGCCATCCCAACCAGCCAGCCTCCTTCTTCTGCCTCATCTGATGGGTGCAGTCCTCCAGGATGGCCATAGTGAGCCTTCGGTTGTGAAGGCTGAGGCTGGGGAGGGAGACAGCCTGAGCAGAAGCCCTAGCCTGGTCCTGGCTCTGCTGTGTAGCTGGGGGATATCCCTCCCTCGGGGGTCAGCTTCCTCACTTCTCCAAGGTGGGGATTCTACTGAGCAACATCTGCGGTTCCTTCCTGAAGTGGCATCTTCCTCTCTCCATTTCATTCATGTTGTGAGATTCTTCCTGCAAGCTAATTTCAATCCTTCCTGCTGCATGATCAGCTGTGTCCCCTTACTGGGGAATTATTGGGAACACCCCACCCCAAAGTCAGTACAGCCATAGGCAGCAAAGCCTGTTGTTGCTAAATCCATAATTTTCCTTTTCACGATTTACGATACTTACAGACATTTACAGCTCCAACACCTTCACACAGCCTGGGTGGGAAAAGATGGAGAGGGGAAGAGGAAAGAAGTCAGAATGAGAACCTCAAGTTTCCTGTGGGCACCAGAATGTCTCATCCCAGGGCTGCTTTTGATCTATATTCATGCCTCAGTGCAGCTTAGAAAAATGTGTCTTTCAGACAGAAAACATAGGGTGGACTCTCATTTTCTCTTATCTGGCTGCCTCTGTGCAATGTACATCTTTAACAACCATATCTGGAAGTCCTGGATAGGCAGCTTTGGGAAAGGAAAGTCCTCTTCGACATGTAAGGCCAAGGACAGAGTTTGAACAGTAACTCTACCATAGGCAAGTGAGTACCTAGATCCCAGCGTATGGTTCTTGGAAGAATTTAAGGATGTTCTGAACTGAGTGGCAAGTGCTTAGGTTCTAGCCCCAGCAGGATCCTGGGTTCACTGCGGCTCTGGACATCACAGTGCCATCAGTCTTGCATGAGAAGGGGACATTTACCAGTTCCAGGTCTGTGAAATGAGACCTGGGAGCCAATCAGCAAGAGACTAGCCTGGGGCCATTTGTGGGGTGAGACTGAGACCAGAGGGAGTTGAAAGTGGGCTGGTTTATGCAGAGGAGTGCATGGTATCTGGGCTGGTTCACCTCTGCTCCTCGCCCTCCAGCAGGCGCCTGTAGGTGGCGATCTCGATGTCCAGGCCCAGCTTGGAGTTCATGACCTCCTGGTACTCCTTGAGCAGGCAGGCCATGTCCTGCTTGGCCTTCTGCAGGGCCTCCTCCAGCCCTGCCAGCTTGCAGCGGGCATCGTTGAGGGCAGCCTCACCCTGCTGCTCAGACTGGGTCACTGCAGTCTCCAGCTTGGTGTTCTGGGGGCCCAGGAAAGAACAAAGTGGGTTATGCTTCATGGATTTCCAGGCTCATTACCTGGATGTGTCCAGGCTCAGCCACCCAATTAGAAATATCCCCAAAAGAAGGCTTTGCCCTGGTTGACCATGACCAGGGACTGTAGTCAGACAAAAAGAATGGAAAATGCATGGTGGGGTTTAGACAGGGCACACATTGACTGTGCGGCACTGGGTGGGCCCCCAGCCTCTATGATTTGGGCACAGCTGAGCCATACCTGGCACTTGGCATTCTCAATCTCAGCTGTCAGCCTCTGGATGATGCGGTTCAGCTCATTGATCTCCTCCCTGGTGCGGCGCAGGGTCTCCCCATGCCGGATCACTGTGGCTTTGATCTCTTCGCACTGCAGGAAATGAGAAGCTCATGAAGCTCAGAAAGGAACAACCATCCACACCTTCAGGACATCATTGAAAACTATGGAAGTTCTATAGTGCTCAGCTTGTGTAACCACATGGCAGCCCCACTACTCCAATCTGCAAGTTGTCTGCCCTTTTCCTACCATCCTTAGAGATCAGAATCCTAGAATTTCCTAATAGATACATCACATCCCTTTACGGACACGTCTAAGAAGTAGGTGTCCTGAGCCACTCACTTTGGTGCGGTACCAGGACTCAGCCTCCGCCCGGCTGCGGGTAGCAATGTCATCATACTGAGCCTTGATCTCAGCCACAACACAGTCCATGTTCAGCTCCCGGCTGTTGTCCATCTTGACGATGACAGAGGTGTCTGAGATGTGGGACTGGAGAATGCGGATCTCCTGCAGGAAGGGGCCCAGAGGAAGGACAACCAAGTTATGTGGGCTCTTCCCATCCAGCGGTGCCTATAATCCCTTGGCTGCTGTGCAGCCCACCTCCCAGGTTTGAAGCTGAAACCCCAGGATGAAATATAGCTTTCTGCATAAAGAAGTCCCCAACAATGCCCACTTCTCAGATGCTTGTTTCTCAAACTCTTTGGGCACATGTGAACCTAGGCTACTTCCCAGAAGCAGCATGACCCAAGTGCTCCCCAGGGGGCAGACTGGCTGTGGGGACCTGTGCATGTTCTCAACCACATCAAGCAAGACTATTGGCTGCCAGGGAAAACCCTGGACCAGGCGTGGCCAAAGCTGTCTTGGGCTTTGGAGGCCTCTGCTGTACCCCACTGGCTCGAGGGAGGACACAGGATGGCTTCTCAGGCACAGCTGATCCTGAGGCCTCACCCTTTTGCCCTCTCTGCACTGACCTAGTTGTGGGCTTCCATTCTTCTTCCTGTTCCTTCCTTCTCCTTGCTCCCCTCTAGCCTGCAGTCTGGGCTACCAGGAGTCCTGGCTCCTGCCTGTGGGGTTTGGGCAGGGATGGGGACCCTGTCAGAGCCACATGTGTGCCCACCATGGCCGTGAGCCACTGACCTCCTCGTACAGCCGCCTCAGGAAGTCCATCTCCTGTGTCAGTGCCTCCGCATTGGCCTCCAGGTCTGACTTGTGCAGGTAGGCGCAGTCCACGTCCTGTGCAGGTTGGCAAGGGGCTGTGAGTCCAGCTTCCCCAGGGTGCTCTGGGGACCTGGCTGCAGTGTGGCAGGCCAGAGGGGCAGGGTAGAAGGGCACTAGGGCTGGGCTGGCTTCAGACACTCACCTTCTTCAGAGCTACAAACTCGTTCTCTGCTGTGGCCCGAAGTGCAACTTCTTCTTCATACCTGAGGTGGAAGGGAGGGCAGGCCCTGTCTGCACCGCCCTGGCTTGGCTATGAAGCTGGGCCTCATTCCCGGACCTGCCCCTGCTCCTCTGGCCTCCAAAGGAATGGGCAGGCCATGGAGAGGTGGGGTGCAGGTCCTGGTCCCGAAGGTCTCCGTTTTCCTCTTTTCCCTCTGAGCACTCTCTCAGCACCCCAATCTCACTGTTGGTAGTAAGGTCCCCTCTTCCCCCATTCCTCTGCTGCACTTGAACCAAGAGAAGTAAATTACTTTGTAACTGAACATCTACATGCATGCCTGTGCTATGTCTGCCTAGCGGTGGACTATAATCCCCCAAAGACAGGGACCAGGTCTACACTGGGCCCTGGTCTGCTAACCCCCAGCCCAGGGTCCTGAACTTTGACAGTGGAGTCCGAGGGACTAGAAAATACAAATTGCTCTGCAGAGTTTGGAGATGGAGAATAGGACAGAGCAATAGTGATCTGAACTGATGCAGGGAGAGCAGTTCAGCCTCCGTCTCCTGGCTTCTGACCATTAAGGGCCTCCTGGCTGTGAGGAAGTGGGGGAATACAGGGATCCCAGCCACGGATCTGACACTCTTTGGGCTCAGGGAGGTTCCACTGAGCCTTCCCCTGAGTTGCCCCTGGGCGGCACACTCACTTCTTCTTGTAGCCCTCCAGCACCTCCTGCACGTGGTTGAGCTCCGAGGCCAGCCTCCCACCATCGGCCTCCACACACTCAGCCTCCCGCCTCAGCGTCTGGATGTAGCCCTCAAACAGTGGCTCCAGGTTGCTCTGGCAGCACTCGCGGTTCTGGAAGAACTGCAACTTGGTCTCCAGCAGCTTGTTCTGCTGCTCCAGGAAGCGCACCTGCACACAGAGGGGGGAAGGACAGGTCAAAGGGTGCCTACTGCCCCGAGACCAGCTCTGGGAGTGATTGTGGGAGGTGGACTCCAGCTCAGCAGGATGGAGCAGGGGTGGGTTGTGGGCTCCAGGCAACTTCTGCTGGTGCTCCTCTCAGGTGAGCTGAGTTACCCACACAGCTGGGGCCAAGTGGCACACGTCAAGTGGCAATCGTCAGGTGTCACCCAGAGCTCAGCCCCCTCCCTGCAGCCAGTGAGGCAGGAGCCCCTCAGGCTGTGCACACAGACTCAGATCACAGAATGGGGTGTGGGGAGGTCACAGGCCATCTGGGGACAGCTCAGCACCCTGGGCCCTCTCCCACTGTCCCTCGTGGTCAGGCACCCCTACCCTTCACAGGGAACACAGCCCTTGACCCAGGGCTGCCTGGCCTCCCTGGTACCACCAGCAGCAGCAGCAGCAGCAAGCACATTGCTCTGGGACTTCCTGCAGTCTAGTCTGTGTCCAGCCCAGCCTGGCTGCACTTTCCCCACAAGCTCTGCTTCTGTCTACTGTCTGTGGTGCATTTCTGGGTCTGTAGTGCCCGTGTGCGTGTGTGTGTGTGCGCACGTGTGTGTGTGTGTGTGCGCGTGCACGCACGCCTCTCCCCTCAGAGTGTGGTCTCAGTGAGGCAGAGGTCTTTCTGAATCTGATTCCCTTCTCTGTGTCTAGCCCTGGTGGTGCCCAGGAGCAAGGGTTCAGGAAGGGTGCGGTGCAGGTCACCCACCTTGTCGATGAAGGCAGCGAACCTGCTGTTGAGGCACTTGATCTGCTCCTTCTCCTCGTGCTTCACGCACTGCGCATTGGGGTCGATGTCCAGGTTGAGGGGCGTGAGGAGGCTCTCGTTGACCGACACGCTGGTGATGCAGGGCGGGCTGGGGCCGCAGATGCCCCCTGAGCGGTAGCCAAAGCTGCGGCCGCAGGAGCCGGTGCGGTAGGCCCCGCAGACGCTGCGGCTGCCAAAGCCTCCTGAGAGGCCGCGGTAGCAGGAGATGCCGCGGTAGGGGGCGGCGGTTATGCAGCAGCGGCCTGGCCTGGGCCCGCAGGAGGCTGAGGCGCAGCTGAAGGCCCGGCCACCACAGTAAGATCCACAAGTCATGGTGCTTTTAGTGGGGACAGGAGACTCTGACTTGGAGACGTCCAAAAGGCTGGTGCAGTGGACGTGGGTTCGCTGTTTCCTTCATGGACATCTGTAGCCCTTTTATATACATGAGAGCCACGTGACCAGGAGCAATTAGAAGCCTTTATGGGCTTGGCCTTTTTAGCTGCTGTCGTTCCTTTCTAAATGTGTTTAATTGGTGTCTACCTGAGGCCAGATGTTTATGGTCCTTTGCCCTAAACTGCACAATTTTCTTCAAATGGCCAGCTCACCTCCCCCACACCCAGCTCACCTCCTAATACACAGAACCTTAGGGGCTGGGAGACACTATAGGCTGTGATTCAGGTTCATAGGAGGAGGGGGGACTGTGCTCTGGCCCGCCCATTTGGGGAGGTTGGTGTTGGTGTCCCTGATGCTGAATGGGCCAGCACCGGAAGGTTGGGCCGGTGTGAGATCAGAGGATGCGCAGCTTGGGCTGTGCTTATTGGTTTCTTGAACCTAGATGATGGTCTCTTTCTACAACTCGGTCACCCCCACCAACTCTCTCTCCCTCTATCTCTCCCTCTCTCTCCCCCCCTCCCCCTCTCTCCCCCCCCCTCTCCCTCTCTCTCTGTTGCCGGAGGGTTAGGGAAGGGGGGGAGATGGTGGACACTCACGTTTACTCACTCACTGCTTCCCCCATTCCTCCCTCCTCCCCACCTCGCTCTCTCCTCCAGGCGGCTCTTCCCACAATCACACATATGCTTGCTCACAGATACTCATCTGCACCTCAACCACCCTCTCTGGCACCCAGATCAGGCCACCTTGGCCAGCCTGTTCCGAGAGGAGGCAGTCTTCCCCTTCAGGATCTTCCACCAGGCTGTGGGAGCTGGTGCGCACTGGCTCGCTGGGCCCAGGAAAGCCCAACAATTACATCAAACAAGGCCCCAGCAAGGTTCAAATGTCTGCCTTTCACCTCAGGCTGCTGTGTTTCCTCCAAGGCCTGGAGTGGGCACCACAGTTATGAATCCGTATAGTGTTTGCCTCAGAGTATGAAATCTAACAGAGTGGCTGTTACCCTGAGTCCTTGATGCTTTCTATGCTAGATACCCTGAAGCCCCTTCCGTGCACAGAAGTTGGTCAATCACCTTGTCAGAACAGATCCATATTGATGTGTGCTATCTATCCAGTGTGGGCCTTGAACTCACAAGGGCTGGGTAGGGAATAAGACACTGCCCTGCCCAGCTCTGGTGACCTGGTGGTAAGATGCTTCCCTCTTCTGGGAAATGGGTTTAGGGTTTGCCTCCCACTCCCACCTGGGAGATTCACAGAGGTGTGTGCATGATGAATAAACTCCAGAGCACAGTGGAGGTGGCTTTATCATAATCTTCAAGGGACAGTTAGCCCTGGGAGCCCTCTTCAGAGTTCATGCTGTGGCCCACTGATATGAGTGGCCAGAATTTAATTTTACTAAAATACATTAGAACAAAATCAAATAGAGTAAAATAGAAAATATCAGAGTATATTTTATTGTTTCACATCCATAACTATTGTTACATGGCCTTTTGTATATGACATGTATGTATAGATGTGTACATTCAATCACTGTAAAATTCTTTTTTTGACAGGGTCTTGTTATGTCATTCAGGCTGACCTTAAACTCACTATGTAGCCCAGCCAGGCCTCGAACCAAACTCACGGTGATCCTCCTGCCTCAGCCTCCCCAGTGCTGGGGTTACAGGCATGTGCCACCATGCCCAGCCTAAAATTCTTTCTTAATGCAGTGATAAATTTAAAAATGGAAATACATAGCATATCATTGGAGAATACAGACCCAGATCTCAAACTTCCTATTTTCAAATTCCAGTTCGGCCACTCTCTAGCTGTGTCACTTGAGGTAATTACTTAACCTTTCTGTACACCATTCATGATTTGTAAAGTGGAGACAATAATTTACACAACCTCATAAAATTGTTATAAGGATTAAAAGAATTAGTCCATCTAAAGCACTTGGAACTGAGCCTGTCATACTCTAAGTGTTTAATCATAATTTGTTTTTGTTGTTGTGCTGTAGCTATATTGGCAGGATTGATGGGATATATCCACCCATGTTTCTAAACCACTTATGTTCAATTACTATTAATGGTACCTATCCTAAAGGACTAGTAGGAGAATTAAATTAAAAAATGCATAGGCAATACTTAACACAGCATCTGGCACGTATAAAGTATTCAATAAATGTTTTCTACTATTATTCTACCCTGTGGGCCTGCCAAGGGGAAGGAAGGACTGAAGCTTTTCACCAGATTATTCTCTTTGTCCTGGAAAAGAACCCAAATGTCCCTTCTTTAACCCTCAGTCCACCTGGACTGCCCCAGGGATGGTCCATTGAGAAACTCTCATCTTAGGCAAAGAAAAACTGTCACTAGTCCTTGAGCAATCACACTAGTAGAAAAGAAAAACTTTGGATAATCTGAAAAGCTAGTAATGTGTGACTAATTCATAAATTTTTATTAACAGACCATCAGAAAACCTTAGTCATGAATCAAATAGTATCATGTTCACTCATCTTGCTTTTTGCCTGACCCTAAAACCTCCTGATTGGTTGGTAGCCAGGAGATAAGATAACATGAAGCTGAAGGTGGAGGATGTCGCCTTATAATCGACCTGACTATGATGGAACTCCCAAGAGAACAAGAGAAGGCAAGCTTTCACTGCAACTGGAGAACTAGGAGTTGGAGTTGAGGAAGAACTTCCTGGAGGGAGGGCAGGTAGCCCTATTCCTAAAAGAGTTCTGATTTGGCTTTTCCGTTTAGGGAAGCTTCATATCAAAGAAAACAACCCCTCTGGGCTGGCCACCTTGTTTGTGGAGACAGGCTAAATGGGAAAACCTTCTGTTCTGAACATTGGTTTCTCCTTTCAGTCCAAGTAGACCTTGTTTCAAGGGATGCCTGGAAAGAATGAGAAAACTGGATAGTTCAAGATTAGGAAGTTTTTGTTCAAAGTTGCCTTGGGTCCGTCCTACTTCTGTAGAAAGTGCTGTGAGGCACATTCCCCAAGATGCATGCATGATCCCCAGGAATAGATGCCATCATATTCCAGTAGGGGCATTAAGGATTCTGTGGCCCACAGCCCCCAGCAGTCTGCTGAATGCTGTCTTAATTTGGGAGTGGGAGAGTTGCTAAGAGAAGGAAAGAGACATGGATCAGAGCTCCCAGTGTGACAGGGAAGACAGATCCATATCCTTGAGAAAAGCCAGAAGTCTGGAGAGGGCTGCTCTTTGGATGTACCACCAGACACTGAGGAACACAGTACCTACTGAAGTGTACTTTCTCAGACAATGTGAGATGCAGCTGGGCTGGGAAAAAGGCAAGGAAGGCTCCCAGTGAAGGGTGAGGATGCAAGAACAGTGTCAGTGAAAAGGTGTGCATGGAGATATTTTAGACAGCAGGACAGAGTGAGACAAGGCCAGGGGATGGACAGCAGAGGCGCCCAAGGGCCCTTGCAGGAGTGCAAGAGATCATGAGACTGTGACACTAGAGAAAGAGGAATTAAGCCACTTGAGGCAGAGACCTGGGAAGCAGGGCCAGTCTCATCCCCAAGACTTGAGACTATTTGAGACCGCAGGCTGTGAGGCAGACTACGGGGTCCACATCTGGAGAATGAAAAACATCTTGTGCCAGGCTTGTGGATGTCCAAGGGGCTGTGGCCTTTCTAACCTTATAGCTCCTGCTTTCTGTAGCAGGTGCAGGCCAGGTTCCAGGGAGGGAAGTTGAGGGGTGGCCGAGTGTGGCTGGTGAGTATTGCTGACCTCAGATCCAGTCACTAGGTGGGGTGGTCGGATTGGTGAGCTGGGGAGAGGGCCACATCAGAGCCTTGCCTCCTCAGCCAACACAGGCTGGGACACTGGCCAGTTATCCATCAGAGCTCACCAGAAGAGAGTTCCATTGGGCAAAGGGGCCAAAGGCCCTCGTGGGAAGCATAAGTGGGACTGGAAGGAGACTCAGGAGCTCTGACAGATGAGATCCATCCCGCCAACCAGGCTGAGCCCTTCTGCCTCCTCCAGGTTTTGTCCCTACCCTGAGAGAGTCCATTGATAGAAATCTAGAGCTGGGGTTGCTCACCTCCTTAGGTGAGCCTGGACCTTGCTCTTGGTGTTGTGCCTCTTCCCCCATTGACCTCTTCCTCGGCTTTTCCATTCCTGGAGTGCCCCCACACACAGTCCCCCTTGTCTTTTTCCACTTTTCCTCCACTGTCCTCCACTTCTATCCTCTTCCAACTGTCTCCCCAGACCTTCTCCCTTTCGTTCTCCCCAGCGACTCCCTCCAACCAGCCTCCTCCCCTTTTACCAAGCAGCGCCTCAGAGTAACAGTCTAAATAAAACCAAGCATCTCCTTCTGCCCCTTTCCCTAGAAAGTCCCTCTCATCCACACCTCCTTCCTTCTCCAATCCAACGCTACACCCATCTCCACTCTGCCCCAAGGCCTTCAGGACCCTTGCCTTCACTTGCTGGCTCACTGTGGTCAAGGGCACATTCATTCCTCCTTAAACCCTCAGTAAGAAACATCGCCCTTCCCCATCCCCACCTCCAGCACAGGCTGCTTCATTTGGTCCCCACCCCATCCTACCACAAAGCTTTGCACAATTAGCCACCAAGCTTTGTTGGCTCCATTATTCAGCGTTTAATATGTAGCTGGTACTCACTTTATTCATTCAACAAATATTTACTGAGCACCTACTATGTGGATTAAATCTACAAATAAAATATATATACACATTGATATGTTGCAGGGTTAGCATTTTGCTTCATGATTTGGATACATGCCCAGCTTTTCTCTACCAAGAACAAGGGTGAGTTCTCCAACTTCTGGCCCTGAACTCTGAGACCACTCTGCAGGGCCTTGAAGAGGGCACGGGAAGAGATGAGTGTGTGTTTTTCTGTTAATACAAATCAAGCACACCAGGCTCTGAGTACCAACTATCCCTCACTCACACCTGAGCAAGTCTCTTAACGTCCCCAGGCCTCAGTGTGTTGGAACACCAACCTTAAGGGTAATTGTACAAATTACATGAGTTAAAGCATGAGAGAATCTTAGGATGGTATTAAGTACAGAGTATGATGAACATCAAGACATATAAAGTTAGAGGGCCGGGGATTTAGCTCAGTGGTTTTGCTACCTGCTGCGCAAGCACAAGGACCAGAGTTCAATCCCCAGTACCAAAAAAAAAAAAAAGGATATCCAAGAGATATGAAGTTAGAATATTCATAAAATAGTTTTCTACACTAAAAATATACTTCTTGTAAAATACACCCTAGAAAAACTCTTTCACAGATGCAAGAAAAGATATGGAAAAGAAACTTCAGAAATATTTCTCAGCCTATCAGGATAGAAAGGTGAAAATGACACAGAGCAGTTATGGGAAGCAACCTTGGACAAAAGAAACCAGATGCAAAAGAATACTACAATATGCTTCCATTTACTTATATGAAGCTCAAAAACTGGAAAACTGCCAGGGGCAGTGGCACACACCTGTAACCCCAGCTACTTGGGAGTCTAAGGCAGGAGAATCTCAAGTTCAAGGCCAGCCTGGGCAACTTAGTGATGTCCTATCTCAAAAGAAAAGGGCTGGGGACTGGGGATGTAGCTCAGTGGTACAATGCCCCTGGGTTTGATCCCCAGTACTGAAAAAAAATTTAAAAATAAAAAACAGAAAACCAAACAATATACCACTGAAGAATATAGACACTATTTCTAAAACTGTAAAGAAAAACAAAGGATAATTAAACATAAAATCCAGAAAGTGGGGGTGGGGGGGTGCCATCCCAGGTCAGGAAGGAAGAAGCAATCTGAATGAAGCACAATGCCTAAGAAGCTCCTAAGAGATGTGTATGCTCTATTTCCTTCTCTAGGAAATAGATGCACCACCTATACATTCTTCTGTGTGTTGACATAATTTTGTGTATTAACTTTACACTTCAGAACCAAGACCATAGAGCGGTGGTTCCTTCAACACAAGATTTTTCACTTAATGTCCTTTTAGGTCTTGAAATATTAGCAGCAATTAATAATTCCTGAGGTTCACATTTGAATTTCTTTATATCCTGTTTCAAATTGCTTCTTGTGTCTTAAATGTTGCTTATCAAGCGCTAGCCATTAGTAATTAGCTCATGTAAATGCATGGCAATTTTATAAGGACTTCCACTGGCAGAAAAGGTAAAGTGTGTGTGAGATGCACTTTGACTCAGCACTCCTAGGGACACCCAGACCACTGGTTGGCTGAGGACATGGTGCTCAACTGTGGGACGTGCCCAGAACTGCAGATGAAGAGCTTCAGAGGTGCTGCCCAGCTGCCTGGAACGCTTAAAGTGACAGGAGGTGCCCCACTCTCCCCTGGGATAAGCAGGTGGCTGAGGCAGCCTGTGACCCCTGTCTCACTGTCACAGGTCCCACTGCGAATGTCTTCACAGAGATGTTGGACCCTGCTGTCTCGTTTCCTCCTTCTTGCTCTTTTCCCCTCAGCCATGCCTCCCCCTCCCCACGGCTGCTCTGCCTGCCCTGGCGCAGGTGCTGCAAGCCCTGGCATTTTTCTGCTCTTTTCTTCCCTTCAGTTTTTGGCTGGTTGGTTGGTTGCTTGGTTAGTTGCTCGGTTGGTTGGTTTTTGTTTCTGTTTGCATGTGTTCTTTGGTTTGGTTTTATTTGATTTGGTTCAGTTCAGTTCAGTTTGGTTCGGTTCGGTTTGGCTTGGTTTGCAGCACTGGGGATCTAACCCCAAGGCACTCTGCCACTGAGCTACATCCTCAGATTTTTTTATTTTTTTGAGAAAGGGTCTCACTAAATTGCCCAGGCTGGCCTCAAACTTTCTATTCTCCTGCCTCAGCCTCCTGAATTCCTGGGATTACATATGTGCACTGTTGCACCCAGCCTTTCTCCTCAATTTAGTGCAAACTTCGGTACTTTATGAAATACTTTTTCTAGGACCTGTTCCATTAGGGGTAGGGGTGTTTCATGAGCAAATAGGATATAGTATAATGTATCAAAGTAATTACAGTACACCAGAAGCATACCAGCAGCTAAGCTTGACGTCTTCCATCTCCTTCCTTGTCCTGCAGGACTACACCCAAAACAGCTTCCCATTGCCCACACCCTATACACACCCCACGGCCCCTCCTGATCTAACCATCCCAGCCCTCTCAGACTCTGCCTGTCTTCCTTGGACTGACACTTCCACCCTAAATCTACAAATAGCCTTGCCTAAACAACTTATTCTACCCTTTTAAACTTTTCCAGGGATTAGGAGATGCAGGAGTTATCAAAGCTTATAGGTGAGAAAGCAGTGCATTTCCTGGCTCCACTGCTAACCAACTGGGAGACTTTGGGCAAGTTGTTTAACCTCTGAGAGCCTCAGTTTCCTCATCTGTAAAATGAGGATAAGAGTACATACTTTATAGGATTAACATAAGAATAAGTATATAACAATGATCACAACCAATAGCAAAGAAATACACTCTTATCAAAATAGGTTATACATTTCCCCACAGAGTTCTAGTTGTAAGGAGAAAAACATACAATGTAATACTACTAACCTGACATTTTGTGCTTCCTAGACTGATACAACAAGAATTACATACCACCTCTTATGAAGTATTCTGTCCAAAAGTTGTAATTTGAAACTAGTCAGGCCAGTGCTAACCAAAAGAACCTTATGAGATGGTGGAAATGCTTTTTATCTGTACCTTCCAATAAAGTAGGCACAAATTATGTGTAGTAATTGAGGATTCACATATGGATAGTGCAACTGAGGAACTAGATATTTTATTTATCATTGATTTAAATGTAAATAACCACATATACCTGTTGCCTACCACATTGTACAGCTTTAGATCTAACTTTCCGTGTTGTAGAAAATACAAGGGGGAGAGCCACAGGTTAAATCCCCTATAATCTATTTTTTTTAATCCTAGGACAATTGGAATGTTGAGTATGGAATGCATACTGAGTGGTTCTTTGGAATTATAGTTAATTTTCTTGCATGTGAAAATGGCACTATCCTTATTCATCAGAAATGTGTGCTGAAGGGGCTGGGGCTGCAGTGTAGCCCAATGGCAGGGCATTTGTCTGCTCAAGGTCCAGGTTTCAAACCTCATTCCACCAAAACAAAATCAGAAATATGTGCTGAAGTGTTTAAGGATTATATGCCACACTTTCTGAAACTGCCAAATAACTGGGCAAATGTGACCTAATTATAACAACTGTTGAATTTGGAAAGAATGTCTATTAGCCTTTGTTATATTTCAACTCCTCTCTGTTTGAAACTCTCCTAATAAAACTTGAAGAAGACGTAAAAGATAAATATCTAACAACCTGCTGACTGCTGTCCTGGTAGGAAAATCCGATGGTTTTCAACAGCCCACTGCAGAATCTGTGGTTGGGGAAATCCACATCTGTATTTAGCAGTGTTTCAGTCACTGTGGCATGGAAATTTCGAGGTGTTTTTTGTTAACATCCCAGCCTTCCCTGGGAGCACCCACACACACACACATCACATCACATTCAAGGCACAGCCCCTTCTGCTGGCTGCCTCCCTCACCTCCCTGCATGCTTTCCCTCCTGTCCACAGAAAGTGCATGCCCTGCCAGGAAGGCACTTTGAAGATGAAACATGCTGAGTCCCCCGAGGGCTCAGGGGCTGGCGTGCTGTAAAAAGAAGAGGGTGCGGACCACTCCACCATTAAAGCACATTCTGAAGCAGCGTTGCACAGCTCTAACCGCCCAAGCCCATAAAGCTCAATTGCCCCAACCCATCCTCCCGGCAAAGCCCCTACACAACCCGAGCATAAATAGGACTGAAGCACTCCGAGGAGCACATTGGAGTTTCCACAAGAACTCGAGATAGCCCATCCGCCCCTTGCAGAACACACCTTCAGAAGCACCATGACCTGCGGATCTGGATTCAGAGGCCGTGCCTTCAGCTGCGCCTCAGCCTCCTGCGGGCCCAGGCCAGGCCGCTGCTGCATAACCGCCGCCCCCTACCGCGGCATCTCCTGCTACCGCGGCCTCTCAGGAGGCTTTGGCAGCCGCAGCGTCTGCGGGGCCTACCGCACCGGCTCCTGCGGCCGCAGCTTTGGCTACCGCTCAGGGGGCATCTGCGGCCCCAGCCCGCCCTGCATCACCAGCGTGTCGGTCAACGAGAGCCTCCTCACGCCCCTCAACCTGGACATCGACCCCAATGCGCAGTGCGTGAAGCACGAGGAGAAGGAGCAGATCAAGTGCCTCAACAGCAGGTTCGCTGCCTTCATCGACAAGGTGGGTGACCTGCACCGCACCCTTCCTGAACCCTTGCTCCTGGGCACCACCAGGGCTAGACACAGAGAAGGGAATCAGATTCAGAAAGACCTCTGCCTCACTGAGACCACACTCTGAGGGGAGAGGCGTGCGTGCACGCGCACACACACACACACACACACACGCGCACACACACACACGCACACGGGCACTACAGACCCAGAAATGCACCACAGACAGTAGACAGAAGCAGAGCTTGTGGGGAAAGTGCAGCCAGGCTGGGCTGGACACAGACTAGACTGCAGGAAGTCCCAGAGCAATGTGCTTGCTGCTGCTGCTGCTGCTGGTGGTACCAGGGAGGCCAGGCAGCCCTGGGTCAAGGGCTGTGTTCCCTGTGAAGGGTAGGGGTGCCTGACCACGAGGGACAGTGGGAGAGGGCCCAGGGTGCTGAGCTGTCCCCAGATGGCCTGTGACCTCCCCACACCCCATTCTGTGATCTGAGTCTGTGTGCACAGCCTGAGGGGCTCCTGCCTCACTGGCTGCAGGGAGGGGGCTGAGCTCTGGGTGACACCTGACGATTGCCACTTGACGTGTGCCACTTGGCCCCAGCTGTGTGGGTAACTCAGCTCACCTGAGAGCAGCACCAGCAGAAGTTGCCTGGAGCCCACAACCCACCCCTGCTCCATCCTGCTGAGCT